GCGGGGCCCCAAAGGGAACATTTACCAATATTTTCAAATTCTTATCCATTGATGACATGACAAGTATTGTATTTCACTTAGTTTACATGCTGATTTCCACATCACATCTAAACAATAAAATAAAGCTACCAGTATCTATGATATAACTCAGGTGACCGCTAAGGCCCTTGGGCCTCTTGTTTCATAATTGTTATAAAATGAATAAAGTTTATATTATATTTTATAATCAATCATAATGTTCAAAAATCGTTGGAGGATGATCGGTTTCCGTGACTATTTTATACCGTTACGGGAAAATATGATTTACTACGACTCGTTGATACATATAAGATATATAGGATCTTACATGAGTTTCCATGTCATATGAAATTTATGAAACGAGTCCAAGAATTTTTCATTTTAGCGAGCCTTTTGCCAGCTAAAATGAAAAATTCGTGACGAGTTTCATAAATCTTTTAGGGGAGATTTTAACCAATCAAAGATCCTTAATATGCAGAAATATAAAATTGGTGTATTCACTACATAACAGGGGAGTTATACATATGCATGATAAAATAAAATGCTAACGACTTTCAGTAAAGCTTTAGAGCTTGCATACCACATTTTTCATGCCAGGTTTGAGGGTGAACATGTTGTATATAACCCAATGGGTTCAATGGAAATTCATTAGTTATGATTATATTTGTATAATGATATCATGGCGAAATCTGAACATATCTGGGACGGTATATCAACTGAGGTTACAGGTAATTCAACCTTCTTGTTTGTCGTTCTCGGGACAATGTATTCTCTATTGAAAAATCTCCAATCCGCTACGGAATGTCTCATTAGTCGCCTCTCAATACTGCGATGGATCTAAGTCACAGCAGGGGGTCCCACTTAGTCGCCTCTTTTGGTTTGCAGGAATAATGCATGTGCCTCTATTGGTTTGCAGGAATTGTGCATGTAATTATCAAATAAGTGAGTGCAGGAGGAATAAGTAGATAAAATGGCTAAGATACTGTATAAATCTGCAAAATAAATCTGACAACGGCTGTTGGTCACACACACTGACATGAAGCAGCAGGCAGGCGAGATAGCAGACCAACTGTGCAGTAATGAATCATTAGGTCAAATGCCCCCTGGAAGGAAAACGAGCGGATGGCAACCGCCTATCGTTCGTTCATACCTCGAGAGTTTACGGTAGCGGGTTTGTAGATTGGTGATCCAAAACCGTTCTCTCGTACGTCGTCTCGTTTCATCCCATGTAGGGCAATGATCTATGGCAACAACCTGCATGTCTTTCCAACTATGGCTAGGCATATTAAAATGCCTTGCCACAGGTCTACGATCTAAACACATTAGAGATTTTGTGGTAAGCAGCAAGCTACCTACACCTAACCCTGCTGCCGGGCCAGATTTCCAAATGCACATGTTCTACGTTTTTGATATTTCTCGTTGACTCACTTTATATGACAGTGCATCTTGCGCAAGAATAGGTCCTCTACATCAGCGTTCCTTTGCCGCGATGCTCTCAGCGTAATTGCTGCCTTCGGCTGTCTTTAGCCGAGGGGACTATTGGTTTTATATAATAGCTATATTTTCAATGATAGTATATCAATTCTATCTTCTTGTAATATGATGTATATGTACATGTAACTGTTCTGTTTCACTGTGTCTTGAAAAAGGAGCGGATCGCTCCGAAAATTTGACAACCCAAACTTGTCCACACTGTTGGAATTACTTCTTTGCCCCATATACTACTTTAAGTAATTCGTATCCAACGGACATACCTCCATTAGGATCCAGTGTTATATGGGATTTTACCGTCTATATTACTTCTTTGACACATATCTTATATATATATGTATAAAAGTATTCAAATTTTGATAGTCTTGCTTCGAGTAAATACTTAACTTATTTACTTGCTATAATTTTTTTTCTCGGTTTTTACTCACTAAAGCTCCTAATTTGACATGGGAGTAAAGAGTCTACAAAAATAGAAAGTCGAATCCCAGCACGGTAAACAACTGGGGAAAGGACGGAACAGATGTATAGATGGCTAGAGTACAACCGGCCCGTCTACAACACCGTCCTAATTTGTAGTGTGATGTGTGACGCTCGTTAAGCCCTATCCTACAGAGACAACATTGATTGGTGAGGTTACCAAACTGTATCCTCCAAAGTAGTAACAATAGATTACAAATTCATTGTTAATTACCTGTATATTTCGTTATGTACATTCCATTGTAGGGTAATATGTGTGAGTTTTCATACTGGATATTGGACACATGTTACAACATTTAAATGTCTTGTGTTTAAGATGTTTATCTAAATGTTTATGCTGGATAAACAAAGGTGAACGTGAATTATTATGTTAGACATTGTAACACTAATATTTTACTATGGTTGGCTCAGATATGTATATCGATTTAACGTTTCAACCTTATATTCAACCACACATTTGATATCTTTTTATTAAGATATTGGATAACAAAGATTTCCAATAACATTCATCAGTTTGGAAATATATGATATCAAAGTTTTACTTTCTACACAAACAATGCACGTATGAAGCGTGTCGCAACGTTTCAAAACCGACTGGTCCCTTTGTCAAGCTGTGATATGACTATTAATTTAACGTTTCAATGTTATATTCAGCCATACATTCTATACCTTGTGATTAAGATGTTTGAAATCTAAATTAACAAAGATTGTTTTACTTATTATATAAGGCACTGTAACACTAAACATTTTATTACCGATGACTATAGTATTAATGGAGTAAGTTAAGATACATTTACAAATTATTACCAGTGAAGGTGTTTATGTTCCAAGTTACCAAACAACGTTTTTAATTGACAGGTTATTCGAGAGCAACGAGGGTATGAAGAAATTGTTCTACAAGTTGATGCGATGCGACAGCTCTGAGCAGCTGGAGTTTGACCAGGAAAAGTTGACCCGCCACGCCACGATCGTGATGCAGGGACTAGGCGCGGCCGTGGAGAGTCTGGAGGACTCCGTTTTTCTCACAAACGTCCTTATTGCCATGGGCGAGCGTCACGCCATGTACAACGTCAAAACTGAAATGGTTCCGGTAGGTATATGTAGCTTATTACGGATCCAGAGCTCTAATATTCTCCTTACTAAATGCGGACACAATTGTAGTGCGCTAAATAGTTATTAGTGATCTTTATTATCTAAATTATCAGATTCTCCATCGTGTGTTTGTAGTTATCTATCTGGAAATTCTTATTATAGGATGAAATGCCCGCTTTAGAGATATAGAAGACAAAAATGTAGGTTATTGTAACTTATCAAGCTGCATCGGAACTTTTCATTTCATATAAATATATAAACCATTGTTTGACATAGCCACTGCATAACACTTCTACCAGATGAAGGCCGTGAGCTGATTGTTGACGATTAGTCTGGCGTTATAATTGTTACATATGTCACCAATGTCCCTCCACTCATCCTTGCTGTTTCTCTTTTTTTCGGATACATGTGTAGTCCCTCCACTCATCCTTGCTGTTTCTCTTTTTTTCGGATACATGTGTAGTCCCTCCACTCATCCTTGCTGTTTCTCTTTTTTTCGGATACATGTGTAGTCCCTCCACTCATCCTTGCTGTTTCTCTTTTTTTCGGATACATGTGTAGTCCCTCCACTCATCCTTGCTGTTTCTCTTTTTTTCGGATACATGTGTAGTCCCTCCACTCATCCTTGCTGTTTCTCTTTTTTTCGGATACATGTGTAGTCCCTCCACTCATCCTTGCTGTTTCTCTTTTTTTCGGATACATGTGTAGTCCCTCCACTCATCCTTGCTGTTTCTCTTTTTTTCGGATACATGTGTAGTCCCTCCACTCATCCTTGCTGTTTCTCTTTTTTTCGGATACATGTGTAGTCCCTCCACTCATCCTTGCTGTTTCTCTTTTTTTCGGATACATGTGTAGTCCCTCCACTCATCCTTGCTGTTTCTCCTTTTTTCGGATGCATGTGTCGTCCCTCTGCTCACTCTTGCTGTTTATCCTTTTTTCGGATACATTTGTCGTCCATCTGCTCGTCCTTGCTGTTTTTTCTTTTCTGCTGGTGATTAAAAGAAAAAAAAAGTTATGTATAATTTATATACCTTTTAAAAGTTAATAATACTTGCTCCCATTCCTTTTCTTTAATATCAGTTTCCTCCTACAAGTATATGGTATAAACAAGGTGCATGAACTAAGCTTACTTTCGGACTCATAACTTGAATGTTAATGCGTTTTCCTCGGACTGTTTTTAATGTGCACTTCGGCGCTTACCCCATTTGTTATGAAAAGAAAATTGCAAACGAAAATTTAACTATTTCGCCTTATTTGACAAAGGTACATCTCATTAGTTAACATTTTGTAGCTGTCCTTGAAGATGCAGGTACTATTGACATTAAGCTTTACACGAAAATGTTGTAAAGCAGCATAAAGCTGTGTACGACACATTATTTCGGAGTTGTCTCCCTTTGAACACTATTAAGACGGTTACCTATTCAAAAATACATCAGTTTTGATAAAAACAACTCTTTATTTCAGCATCTGTGGCCAGCCATTCGGGATGCTTTTAAGGAGTTGATGGGGGAAGACTTTTTACCGGCTGTTGAAAGTGCATGGTTGCACGTGTTTGAGTATATTGGCAGTAAATTCAAAATGGGAATTGTATCTGGCAAACAATGATGGGATAAAAGATATACGGCTATTTTACATTGGTTGAGGTAGTGGTTGAAGTGTCTGTCAATCAGGAGTGTTATAATTGAATAGGGAATTTGTATTGTTATTTCACCGTTGTCGGTTTTTTTATGCAATCAAATAAAATTAAAATATAATTTCAATTCAACGGTGAAAAATCAGATACCGAGTTGATTAAGTCATGCGAACCTGTTTATATTTTTGTTAAGGTCTGGGTGATGGAAGACCAATTTGTCAGGAGCATCATAGCACACTGCAGGACATTCCTTACTTCTACAAAATGTGTGTTTGAGTGAAAGTTGTTATGAAGGTTTATGTGTTACATCTATATTGAATTAAAATTATTTTTTTAAACGTTATCTTTCTATTATGTTTTGTCATACCATGACAAAGGACACATTTTATTTCAAATTATATATTCAACCCAGACGTGTATAACCACATTTTATGTGATTTTACCTAAAAACAAATTTAATTTCTGATACAAATCATTGTACAGACACCGACATATTTAATAAAACCTAAAATCAATCAAATAAGATATTACACTCTTTTCTTTCTGTCATGATTGTCGTATCTTAATCAGACCATGACAAAGGAAGTATTTTTTTAAATCAAAAATTCAACCTTAACGTTTATATAAATTTAATGTGATTTTGCCTAAAATAGATTCCTTAATTTCTGATACAAATCATGGCGAAGTATAGACGGTGACATATTCAATCAAAAGTTTTTATTTGAATCAAAAATCAATTAAATAAGACACTTCATCGGCTATAAGGACATTACACTAAATATGAACGTCATACCGCATTAATATAGAAACAATCTATATATTTGTACGTATTTCCTAATATTTGTGGTTTTTAAGTTTCTTGAACGCCAATACAATTAATTTGTTTTACACAAACTGTATTTAAACAATTAATTTGTTTAACACATACTGTATTTAGACAATTGATTTGTTTAACACATACTATATTTAGACAATTAATTTGTTTGACACACACTGTAATTAAACAATTAATTTGTTTTACACATACTGTATTTAGACAATTAATTTGTTTTACTCATACTGTATTTAGAGAATTAATTTGTTTTACACATACTGTATTTAGACAATTAATTTGTTTTACACATACCGTATTTAAACGATTAATTTGTTTTACACATACTGTATTTAGACAATTAATTTGTTTTACAAATACTGTATTTATACGCATACTGTATTTAAACAATTAATTTGATTTCAACACATACTGTATTAAGACAATTAATTTGTTTTACACATACTGTATTTAAACAATTAATTTGTATTAAACACACTGTATTTAAACAATTAATTTGTTTTACACATATTGTATTTAGGCATTTAATTTGTTTTACACATACTGTATTTAGCCAATTAATTTGTTTTACACATACTGTATTTATACACATACTGTATTTAAACAATTAATTTGTATTAAACACACTGTATTTAAACAATTAATTTGTTTTACACATACAGTATTTACACACATACTGTATTTAGACAATTAATTTGTTTTACGCATACTGTATTTAGCCAATTAATTTGTTTTACCCATACTGTATTTAGCCAATTAATTTGTTTTACACATACTGTATTTAGCCAATTAATTTGTATTACACATACTGTATTTAGCCAATTAATTTGTTTTACACATACTGTATTTAAACAATTAATTTGTTTATACATACTGTATTAAGCCAATTAGTTTGTTTAACACATACTGTATCTAGACAATTAATTTGTTTTACATATACTGTATTTAAACAATTAATTTGTTTTAAACACACTGTATTTAAACAATTAATTTGTTTTACACATACTGTATTTAGCCAATTAATTTGGTTTACACATGCTGCATTTAGCCAATTAATTTGTTTTACACATACTGTATTTAGCCAATTAATTTGTTTTACACATACTGTATTTAGCCAATTAATTTGTTTTACACATACTGTATTTAAAGAATTAATTTGCTTTACACATACTGTATTTTAACAATTAATTTGTTTTACACATACTGTATTTAAACAATTAATTTGTTTTACACATACTGTATTTAGACAATTAATTTGTTTTACACATACTGTATTTAAACAATTAATTTGTTTTACACATACTGTATTTAGACAATTAATTTGTTTTACACATACTGTATTTAAACAATTAATTTGTTTTACACATACTGTATTTAGACAATTAATTTGTTTTACACATACTGTATTTAAACAATTAATTTGTTTTACACATACTGTATTTAGACAATTAATTTGTTTTACACATACTGTATTTAAACAATTAATTTGTTTTACACATACTGTATTTAGACAATTAATTTGTTTTACACATACTGTATTTAAACAATTAATTTGTTTTACACATACTGTATTTAGACAATTAATTTGTTTTACACATACTGTATTTAAACAATTAATTTGTTTTACACATACTGTATTTAGACAATTAATTTGTTTTTCACATACTGTATTTAAACAATTCATTTGTTTTACACATACTGTATTTAGACAATTAATTTGTTTACACATACTGTATTTAAACAATTAATTTGTTTTACACATGGTGTATTCAAACAATTAATTACACATACTCTATTTAAACAATTAATTTGTTTTACACATACTGTATTTAAACAATTAATTTGTTTTACACATGGTGTATTCAAACAATTAATTACACATACTCTATTTAAACAATTAATTTGTTTTACACATACTGTATTCAAACAATTAATTTATTTTACACATACTGTATTTTACACATTCATTAAATAGAAAGACATATATTGACTACATTGATCTATTAACCTTCTTAACCAAGATCACAGAACCATACAGTCTCTCCAGTTCAGACATTAGCTCGATCTTTACTTAATGAGCTGTAAAACTGAAGGAAATAAATGAACTTGAACTTGGACTTGAACTTACAAAATGACCAACAGGAACAGATTGCGGTAAGCATGACGATTTTGATTTTCCGATCGTAGCTTTCCCTTTCTTTATATCAATACACCAACATAAGGTATTCATTCGGTAATCAGGAGCTTGCAGTTACTATCATGATATCGTTGGGATTATTCTATTTTCTAGTGTAACAAAAAGTTACATGCTGTTGTTGCTCATAAGTTTACCTGGATGTTTCGTTGCATTCCCGGTTCTCGTTTGAGAACGTGTCATTAACTGAATTTGTCCTTAATTTACCTAGGATATGTCGATGATAAAACAGATGACGCTTATCCTTCCGGCCAACCTGGTCTGATTTTCCGTATTATTTTGGAAGGGTCTCTATGTATGTTTCCTGCTCTAATATTTTCGACTTTGAGGTTAAAGAGAAGGTCAAGAAAACATAACAAACTAATGATATATACACTTGATAGCCTTATTGTAAACTTCAGGCTATTCGTCAACTCTAACAACGTATTTGGAACATATTATTTCGATGAGTTTTGTTTAAGAATATTACATATACTTAGACCATTTTGTGATTTGCGTGAAGGAGATCAATCTTGTAAGTATTGGTAGGGCAAACAATAGTATCACACGTGACAAAGTCCAGTTATATTGTTTTCGACAAAATTAGCAATAATTAATGGAACAAAATGTAACATCCGATATGACTACGTCTTAAACACATTAAGATAGAATGTATGATGAATGACAATATCATTGAAAACAGCCAGTATCTCCCATGACATAATCAACAAAAAATGTTAGTAACAGATGTGAGAGTGTCAACAATAAATGTCAATAACAGATGTGTCAACAATGAATGTTAGTAACAGATCCGACAGTGTCAACAATGAATGTTAGTAACAGATGTGACAGGGTCAACAATGAATGTTAGTAACAGATGTGACAGTGTCAACAATGAATGTTAGTAACAGATCCGGCAGTGTCAACAATGAATGTTAGTAACAGATATGACAGTGTCAACAATGAATGTTGGTAACAGATGTGAGAGTGTCAACAATGAATGCTAGTAACAGATGTGAGAGTGTCAACAATGATTGTTAGTAACAGATCCGACAGTGTCAACAATGAATGTTGGTAACAGATGTGACAGTGTCATCAATGAATGTTAGTAACATATCCGACAGTGTCATCAATTAATGTTAGTAACAGATATGACAGTGTCAACAATGAATGTTGGTAACAGATGTGACAGTGTCAACAATGATTTTAGTAACAGATCCGACAGTGTCAACAATGAATGTTAGAAACAGATGTGAAAATGCCGACAATGAATGTTAATAACAGATGTGACAGTGTCAACAATGAATGTTAGTAACAGATGTGAGAGTGTCAACAATGAATGTAAGTAAT